AGGTCTATCTGCCCTTGGCTGCTGGTCTACCTGTCACCTGTGCTTCTGAAATTCTTTGACAAATCATTTCAGTCTATGACCTATTAGTATACTCATTCCTAAAGTTCCATAACCAAATTATGTGGTTATGGGTCAATGTGTGTTGTGTGTGTGTGCCAATGTTTTCATGGCTGGTTCTAAAGCCTTAAAACCTCACTGTCCATCTTCAGATTAATACAAGTAAAATAACACCTGATCAGTGTGGATCACGCATGGGTTCTTTCCCTTTAAAAGCCTGGAGCTTAAAAGGCCAATTGTAGTTGGGAATAGTGGGTATATGCTTGTAATCTCCACACGGGAGGCTAAGGCAGGAGGATTGAGTTCAAGGCCAATCTGAACGAGATATTAAGATGCCATCTTAATATGGGGCTGGAGAAATAGCTCAGCAGATAAGTGTACTTACTGCTCTTGCAGAAGACCCAGGTTCAATTCCCAGCACCCATGTGGCAGCTCATAACTGTCTGTGACACCAGTTCCAGGTGATTTGATGCCCTCTTCTGATTTCCTGCAGGCTCTTGCACACATTGGTACATATATATGCCCTTAGGCACAGGTTATAGTTAGGAACATATATTTATATAAAGATACATATATGCATACAATAACAACTAATGAAAAAATAGGCCATGAAATTGAGGGAGAGCAAGGAGGGATACATGGGAGGGTTTGGAGGGAGGAAAGGGAAGGAGAAAATGCTGTAATTATATTAATCTCAAAAAAGGAATAAAGAAATAAATATATATTTTAAAAGATATTATATTTAGAAAGGTGATGGGGATGCATAAGGAGTCTAGGATATCCAGAGTTGAAACACAGGGTTGAGTTCTAGGGGTTCTGGTGTCCTCTTCTGGCCTCTGTGGGTACCAGGCACACACATGGTGCACATACACACATGCAGGCAAATACTCATTCACATAAAATAAAATAAAAAAATAAATCTTTAAAGATAGCACTGTGAAAACCCAATGGGTTAACATATTGAAGGGCTCAGAACAGTCCCTCGTGGTTAAGTGACACTGAGGGAACTTTAGCTATGATTTTTTTTTTAAAAAAAGAATTTAAATTGCAATAATATTTTGTGTAAAATTGACTTTAAAAGTTTAAATATCCAGAATGTTAAGCTTTATAAATAAAATTTAGTTTCTTTACTTAATAGGTGTCAAAAATTACCTAATTTTACAGTAAGTCAAAAGTCATTTGTACTATGATCACATGGTAGTAGCTATGGTCACCTTGCTGACTCTGGTAAGAACCAGTCTGGAAGTAAGATCTTAGAAATCTATCTCACATAGAAATGAAAATTCTGTTTTTAAAGTATGAAACTCCTCATGCTACATTAAAACAAAACAAAGTTTCTATTTCAGTACTAAAGCTGACCCCCACAGAGAAAGTACAACTAGGCTATAGAGCCAATATGAAAGCTAAAAGGTGAGAAATATTTAAATGGTTTAGAGTAATGGCAGAGAAAGTGGTCAATACTGGAGCAGACCTTTCAGCCAGAACATGGCTGACAAAGCACATCCCTTGCATCAGAGAGTTGCAGCCATTGCTTTCAGCAGTCCCCATTCATCATGGATATTAGGATTCTGATTATGCAAAACCACTCAGCTGTCCTTCCCCATCCTAAAAACCCAAAAGTTCTATTTAAGTTCTGCTATCTCTATTGATGACTGTTCAAAGAAGAAATTACCATGTTACATGAGCATCCTCATTGTATCTTTAATAGTTTCAGATATCAACATATAATATGCTCAGAAGGTTTCCTAGTTCACCATTTGCAAATATATATAAAAAAATAATTGCTCCAAATCACGTAGAAGAATCTGATAAAGATCACTGCAACTTCTTTGACAAGAGTAGCAATGGGCTTTGATTTGCTTATAGTAGAACAACCACTTTGAGAACTTTGGTCATTTAAAAAGCTGAAGGCAACATGTGTATCCCAGTGACAAAGGTTAAAGACTCAACCAGAGGACTGACAGAAGGCATAAAAATGGGATACATTTAATCTAGAAGAACATGCAGATGTGAAGCACAAAGCACATTCTAAACTCTAGACCTTTTTTATAATAAGATTGAAATGTTAAACAAGTAAGAATATGTATCTGCTCTTACATGTCCCCCAAGATCTAAAAATCAGACATATTCTTTTATTACATTTTATTGTATAGGTATTATATTTTTTTAAGGTTAGGTCTCTGAAGATGTGAACTGTCTACCTCCATCTTTCACTCTGTTCTTGATTAGCATTTTATTTTTATATTGTTATAAATAAAAAGATCAATTTAAAATTCTTAAAGAATATACAATAACTATCTCTGGGTCAAAACAAATATCTTTTCTTTTATAACTAACTCTTCACCCAAATAATTCAATGTGCATACAAAAAAGAGGATGAAATTTTAGTATTCATTGATTACATAAACTACCTGTGATGTATGGAAGTATATGTAAATTTTCCCAATATTACACATGTGCATAAATCGTATGCTCACATAATTTCCCTGGGTAGTAGGTAGATAGATGTTAACAGTTTTATAACCTAATCTGGTAAAGAAATGAATGTTTTGTGTTTAAAATTGTTTAAATATTAGTAATATAGTGACCTTTCAAATTGAACAATCATTTACTTTCACACAAAAATTGGGTAAAAATCATAAAATTAAAAATCTGGTGTTTTCTTTATGGCAACAAGTTCCCCCCCAAATATAATAGAATCACGTTTGTTCAGTTAATCTCAATATTAAAATTATTCATGGAGCTTCTTCCCTTAGGATAAAGCCAAGTCATGAACTAATCAAAAATTTTAAATTAAATACACTATTTACCTAAGTAAGGACTTCCCTCTCTCCATTATACGGACAATTACAGACAATTGGTCTATGCTTTTATCCTCTCACAGGTCAGAATCCCATGCTCTGAGGGTTAGAGGAGAAGGTGGCAATTATTCCCAAGCATGAGACACTTGAATATATGAGTGCATTTGATCTCAATTCCTCAGAATGCCTACACTGACAACAACCAACTAAGAGATTATAATAATCAAGACCTGCAAAGACATTTTAAAGGAAAAAAGTAATCAATGCCAGTGAGAAGCTATTTGTGCCTTTAAATATTTTAGAGTGAAGATGAATCAGATAGACAACTTTAACTTGTTACATGGCATATTAAACTGATCAAGAAAATCCATCTCAAAGATAAGAAGGATTCAAGAAGAATAAAATCATCAATTTATCAATTATTTTAATTGTATTTCTTCTAACTCATTCCCTTATCCCTTATCTCTGTTTTTGTCAGTTGGCCACATCAAACACTGACACTCCCGTATTTCTTCTAACTCATTCCCTTATCCCTTATCTCTGTTTTTGTCAGTTAGCCACATCAAACACTGACACTCCCCCCGCCCCCCATATTCCCTTAAACTTTCCTAAAAGATGATCTTTCCTTTCCTTAAACAGCATGGATTTCAGGGAAAAGTGAGGGCAATGGGAATTAGTAGGTGTTAGCTTTGAAAGGGACATGTTACTTAGTATTAGTATTCTCTGTCTTAGTCCAGAGAGCAGCAACACATATAGGACAAAGAGAAATAACCACAGAAAAATAGTATTGACAACTAAAATGGTGTCAAAACTGATAACTACGATGTATGTCTCTGTATAAAACCTTTCATTTTCATCCAATTAAAAATGACTCCATAATCTATTATAACCCAAAATATCACAAAGATTTATACCGTAGAAATGTCATACAGTTTTACTATAATGTAGAAGGCAGATGAAAAAAGCCAGGCAACGATGTCTAAAACTGCTGCCACACATTACTTTCAAAGCAGAGCCCAGACCTACACATGAAACGCAAGGTGTTTCAAAATGAAAGCTATGTGTTGTCTTTAAATTTCACAGAATTAATGTTGAGACATTTTCCAAATCCTAGCAAAACATCCACGTCCTTACCAAGAAGCTATTCATGTAGACTGTACACAGGAAGCAGGTGTACATACAGTCACAGAGCTTAGCCAGTAAATATTCAATTATTCTCAAATAACAGAGAATATACCCCACACCCCACCTCTGACGGTAAGAAAATAATCAACCTGCTCGAGCTGGAATCAGATTCATTTTCCTCTTCACTAGTGCCATCATCCACTTCTGGTCTATCCAGCCAATGTGCACCAGCACAGTCTTCTGCGGTAAACTCAAATGCAGGGACTTCAGAGGTCGATGCCATTGGCCAAGAAGGTGAATTCTGAAAATCCAGTTGGCTGGACCTTCGGTAACCAATTGAAGCCAAAGGCAATTGTAGGTTACATGGATCTAAAAACTTTCTCCCACCGTTTGCTCCGGTCTGTCCTCGGTTCCAAAATTCTCCTTGCTGGCTGTCAACTGAAGAATTAGATGATGCTTGATGGCCAAACCACCTCCATCTGATTTTCAAAATCTGTTTCACATCAAACTCTTTACGAGAACCAGACATCCTCAGAGAAACCAAGTGATCGTCTAGGCAACGGGCAAAAAGCACGGCACACAGATTTGTGCATCCAACCAAGACAAGAGAAGTCTATTTCCCGCTGGATACAACAAACAGCTCCAAAGGAAAATAAATCGTTCATATATATATCTACATTTACTTTCATCCCAGTATATCAGACTATAAAGAACAAAGGATAATGAATAAAGATGAACCGCGGCGGTGGAACATTCCGTTCAATCAGAGCAAACTCCGATCCACCTATCCTGAAGCAGCCACAGCACTTTCTCAGCTCCCCTTTCCCATACAGACCCTTGCTCTAGCAAACACTGACGGCATTCATTAAAGTCCTTTCAAATGCAGAACACCACCCCCTTTTCTAAACCACAAATGACAGAGACTGAGAGCACTATCCCGCTGCAGAATTGCAGCCTCCACTGCTCTGTGTATTAACTCTTTTATTGCTGAAACAAGAACGGTATCCCAGTGTTTTCCTTTGTACTTCAAAACCACGTTACCATCAGTAGTTCCTGCTTTTAGATCATGTTCCTAGGTGAGATATCACAAAAGAAGTTCCTTAAAACGCATTTTAAGAGAGCTGAGTTTAAGGATTCTTGAGCTGCATTGGGTGGGGATGAGGAGGAGAGAGTCCAAGGTGGGGCTCTGGACCACTTTTCTCCTCTGTCTCTTCCCTTCAGAAGAAATGTACAGTGACATCGTAGGTAGAAGTTCATTTGAACAAAGGGTAATGAGAAAAAATAGAAGAAAAAGTTTGAAAACTACAAAGGACCGAAATTTGTCAACTCTTACTCTTTTTGAAAGAAATACCCTGACACCAATACTGCTGTCTAATTGAAACAAGGCTGCATTCATTCATTTTAACACTGAGATTCACTATTTGGAAAAGGCAAAGTGAAGCTCAAGAAGGCCATCTGGGAGATGTCCTTGGATGCAGGCGTGCCCTGGACAGCGCTCTCTGTGGTTAACAAGACAAAGCAGTGGTGTGGACATGGTCACCAGAAATTGATAAGGAAAAAAGTCAAAATTTAAAATACTAAGTAGGACGATAGCAGATAGTAGATAGTTCTTCCTTCTCCTTACTTTTCAAGATCTTTGGCATTTCTAAGCTTAGCCTGCTTATAAGTCTGCCTATAAGTCTGGCTTTATTTATCATATTACAAGCTCTGATTTCATGATTCCAATAGTTTATACACCTTCTGCACTTCTGAAATTTTCTTTGAATATTCTACTTTATAAAATCTCATATTCCTTTCTTTTAGATTTATTATTCTCCTTGTCTCCTAATCTTCCTTTCATATTCTCTTTAAAAACCCACTTCCTGCTCTAGGCTAGCTCTTTCAGACCTCCCCTTCTTTTTACCATTCTTTTCTTCAGCTCTTCCAGCTACCCCTACTCCAGGGGGGAGGAAAGGCTGGTTAGGGAACAAACTGAGAGGTTGCCTCATGAGAGCAGAGAATAGTGGCTTGGTGGGAAAACAAGCAGATTTCATGTGAGTCGGTGGGTGTGGACTTTGAGCTGACAAAGGCTGTTTGGGTCAATTGGGAACTAGACACCCTTTATACCACCAGTTTAGAGGAACAGAAGGGAAGCAGTGGCTCTCCTGACAAACAGAAATTGGGATCACAAGATTTCTGAGGAATGCTGAGGCTGGGATTTGGTTAGAGTCTGGCCTGGGTTGAGCCTGACTGTCACCTTAGAACATAATCAACAGCAGTGTCATTTAGAGGGTCTACTATGTGACCCAATACCTGGTACTTTAGTTCATACAATATATTAATGTTTATATTTTCATTTCCTGAAAAATTTCTGTTGTGTTTCAAATATTTTATTTCTATAAGGTCATGTTCTTTTTAGAGTGTTAAATATAAATTAAAGATTTGTATCTTTAATCATTTTAAGCCTATTTTATAGTCCAATTTACTAATTATTTTGTCTTCTTTCCTCATTTTCATAGAAACACTGTGTGATTTGGACAAAAAATATTTGTTCAGATATCTTTTGCATTTGTTTCTGTTATATGCCTCACTTTGGTTATGATTTTATTTGCAATTTATAAATTATCAATACACAATCAAAGAATTTGCATACCAACACAATAAAATACCTTAGAAAAAACCAAAAAAATTAAAATAAATAAAAAATAAAATACTAAGTAGGTGCTCTGAATATTCTACTAGGCATGGTAAGACAGAAATACACACATACCGACATTTCACCTCCAAAATGAGTAAATACAGGTACTGAAGCACATAAAAATATTTGATTGGTTAAAAATATAAAACTCTATAAATGCAGAACAGGATTTAAGTTTTCAGGGAGCTCAGTACTGATTCCCTATCAAATACTTTAACACACAGCTGTACTGACACTGGCTGACCCAAAGACAAAAGCCTGCTTTGGAGGCATAAAAATACTGTGAGGACTGCATCTCACATAGCCCCTAAGAATAAAAACTGTTCAGAAAAACAGGGTAGGAAGCCTGAGAAGTCACATCCAGTCTGCAATGAGCACTGGGGGGAAACCTCCAAATCAGTTCCAGTGGCCTCTGAGTAGGAGTGGTTTAGGCTGAATGATGCTGGGTCTACATACGCTGACACTCTTGAAAACACGAAGTAAGTATACTGACAAGGAGGGGTTCAGCCAGCCAGCCATACCTAGTTAACAGTAAGACCTGGAAAGAAAGTTAGATGAATCAATGAGACAAAATGCCCTGAGCACAAAGTCAAGGTGATATTAAGTAGACTGTTGAAGAGAGTGAAGTTTTGGAAAGTTAGTTTGCTGGTAGTAGACAGCAAGCATTAGGCAGTGAAATGACACCCTTGTGTCTGCCCTCACCTATGTCAGACAACTTCCTAGCAGTCCTCCACTAACTCCGCTCTATCTAAATTCATTGCTAGCTACAGCTCTGGCACACTACTCCATCAGTCAGTCTATATGATGTTATGACGTCACTCCCTCCTTTACAGTGCTGTTTGGGTTCCGATTTCCCTGGCTTTAAAACCCTACTCCTCTCTCAAGGTCAAACATCTTGGTCATTGCCACCCTTATAAACAATTCCTCCATCACTCTGGGCTTACAGTTCCTAATGGTGGTATCAAATCTCCTCCCCGACAAAAGTTTCTGCACACTGGCGAAGTGGCTTTCAGTGACTGGGATGACCAGGGAGTGCTATCGCCTTGAGAGGGCAGGTGCCAAAGATGACAACATCTTGCAAAGCACACCGTACTCCGATACAATGGAAAATAATGACGAAATTGCACAAATGACCTTACCGTCTTCCTCTTCATTCAAAAAGAAACTGTCAATTACTTCTATGTGCAAAGCATGCAAAACAACAACGAAAAACCCTAACATCTTAGAGCTTTGAAAGATGTGTTTACACCTATATGCTGACAAAGGAAAGGATCATGAAATATCACAAAGAGGATAATTTATGTGTTGTGTGTGTGTGTGTGTGTGTGTGTGTGTGTGTGTGTGCAGGCCAGAGCCAGGCATCAGGTGTCTATCTCTATCAAGCTCGGCATTATTGCCTAAAGACAGGGTCTCTCATTGACCCAGAAGGAGGCTGTTTTGGCTAGCTGGCTGGCCAGTGAGCTCTTGGGATTTGTGCCCCTCCTACTGCTCAGTGCCAAAGTTGCAGGTATGAATAGCCATGCTCAGCTTTTTACATGGGTGCTGGGGACACCAATTAAGTCCTCGTGCTTACAAAGCAAGCATTCTTACCACTGAGCCATCTCTCCAGTCCCACAAAATAAAGTTATATACATATGATTTTATATAAGTGGAATTTTAAATTGGATTGAATCAATGTGAGAACATCTGCCAGTGCTCTGAATTCCAGGAAATGCTATTTTTTAATAGTTAGAAGTGGTTCGATTGTTATCTTGCTTGGTGAGTCATTGAAACCTGAACTCAACAGTGCCTTTCACTGAGATGTGAGGCATGTCTCAACAGTAATTCTCCAGCAGAAGAAACTCAGACTTAAGGAGCCAATGATGATAAACTGTGGAGCCACACTCCTACTGCTGAAAGGGTCTAAAGAACCTTTTATCAAAGGAACTGGGCTATACATTTTTCTGAGTAAGCTGCCAGCCAGTGAGACAGGTTCCACCAGTCTAACGGGACACGGGGATTTGGATTGCAGAAGGACAAACAGCATTTCACTGCTGCCATCATGACCAGGATCTAATCCCCACTCCGATGTCTCACCCAATAAAACACACACACACACACACACACACACACACACACACACACACACACACACGTGTTAGAGGATTATTGCTAGAAATCATAGTGAATGTACAAGTTGAACATTTTTCTTTTTGAAAATTTTAAATTAAGCATAGGTGTATGTGCTTGGATGTGGATATGTACGCATGAGCACAGATGCCCTCAGAGGCCAGAAGTGTAGGATCTCCTGGAGCTGGAGTTACCACCCTATGTGGGTCTGGGAACTGAAAACATAGTCCTCCGGAAGAGAGCAGCAAGTGCTCTTAATCAATGAGCCCTCTCTCTAGCCCTGCATGTTGCTTTTCTTATATAATTTCATATCCACATGGAGATACTAATAATCTTTTTTAAACAGTTTCATGACGTTCCATACTTGTAAAACACTTCATTACTGTCTCTTTGAGGTAAATATGGTGTCTCATCCTGCAAATTTCAGAACTAAGGAGGCTGAAGCAGGAGCATTGCCATGAATTTGAGACCAGCTTGGGCTCCATCTCAAGTTCCAAGCCAGCCTTATCTATATCATCAGGCCCAGTCTCAAATAAAACCAAAACAAACCAAAACAAACAAACAAAAATCTCCTTGAAAACAATAGGCCTGAAGTTGATTTCGAGTTTTTGTTTGCTGTTAAGGCAACACTAAGTGTCCTGTGAGGCTTTTATGTCTATGCAACCTATTCCCTGGAGAACTGCTGCCTTGAAGGAATACTCATTTCAACTCTGAGCAGATTAACTTTCCTGAATTCACACTGCAGATGGAAAGAACTACGCTTCTCTCATCTCTTCCACAGGCCCCACACTGGCAATGAGTGGTGCGATTCTTTTAACTCTAGTCTCCTTGAGCACATTTTTATAGGTTCACTGGCCATTTCTGAACTAGCCAGATCTATTTCTTTCCTAGCCTATTTGTCTTTGTTTTACCACCAAGCAGAGACTTGTCATATATTATATACTTTCAGACTGTATTGTTCTTGTTTTAGAATTTTTTTTCTAGTCTATTTTCATAAGGACAGTAGCTAGCTTTTGTACCTTCAAAAGTATGGTAGAATAACAAGAGTTTAAATCACAAGTGAAAAGCACAAGGTATTTTCATGATATGAACAGATGATGTAATTTTCACTAAGGTTCAGGGACAATGATCAACACTCAAGCTGTCTTCATGCTCCTTCCCAAAGGTAGCCCCAACCCTTAGTATAGATTCCTTTTCTCAAATATATTCCTCTGTCCACTATTGCCCTAAAATTTAATTCATAGACTGGGGCTGGAAGTATAGCACATATGTAGTTCAATTTTTTCCCACCACCACCATAAACAATCTGTTGCTTGTACCACTTGATGAATAGTTGTTTTTTTTTTTTTTTCTTGTTGTTGTTGTTTTGCGAGACAGGGTTTCTCTGTAGCTT